GGAGGAGGAGGAGGAGGAGGAGGGGGAGGCGGAGGAGGAGGCGGAGGAGGAGTTGGAGGAGGAGGAGGAGGAGCTGGAAGCTTGGGACCCACCTCCGCTCACGAGTCTTCGAGGAAAACCTCTCTGTGTGGGGGCGGGTCCCAAACATTCGGCCCCGAAGCAAGCCTGAAGTCTGGGATCCGCTTCCGCTCCGGAGCTTCCCCTGAGAAGTCTCCGGAGCGGAGGCGAGACCCAGAGCTGCAGCCCCGACGATACAGCCGTGGCGCCGCCAGAAGGAACGCTAGATAAAGAACGGCACTCCTGTTTTTCAAAATCGAGTCATTTCTAAGGAACGGCCAAGGCCCTTTTTGGAGGCGTTCCCTCGTCGTTGCCTCTCGTTTTGACAACGGCCCCGCGAGACACGCCGAGGCACCCTGGCAAACCTGTGAGGGAACGCCAGCATGCTCAAGGCACCACCGAGCCCCTTCCGACCCCGAGCTGGACCCTCTTTCAGCGGAGGGGGAGGAGGAGGCAGCGGAGGGGGAGGAGGAGGAGGAGGAGGAGGAGGAGGAGGAGGAGGAGGAGGAGGAGGAGAGGAGGAGGAGGAGGAGGAGGAGGAGGAGGGAGGAGGAGGAGGAAGGAGGAGGAGGAGGAGGAGGAGGACGAGGAGGAGGAGGAGGAGGAGGAGGTCAGCGCCGTGACAGTCCCGCCCACCCGAGATGACGTAGAAGCCCAGGCCGGGCTTCCCCCGCGGCCCGGGCTCCAGGCCGCGGCCGCCCGCGAGCCCGTCGCCCTCTCCTGGCGGCGGCCCCCCCGCCTTCTTCGCCGACTGCAGGTCTCGGGGCGGCCCGGGGGAACACAAAAGGGGGGACGGCAGGAGGTGCGCGAACTATTGCGAGGGGGCACGAACTATTGCAAAGCGCCTGAGCTATTGCGCACGAAACAAGACGAAGCAACACCCGCGGGGAACTATTGCATCCACGCAAACTATTACATCCAAGCACCAACTATTGCATGAACTATTGCGCCTACCCCGGTTCCCCCATTTGTGTTCCCCCCATTACTCCGGCTTAGGGGCCCGTTGAGGAGGGGTCGCCTGGGAACAGCGGGCACGACCCAGACATGCTCCAGTCCTGGAAAAATCAGGACGGGAGCTCTTTGGGCCCTTTTGGGCCTCTGGCGGCCCTTACCAAGCCCCGGGACTGCCAGAAAACGACTCGGGACGATGAACCGGTCCCCGGGAAAGTGTCTGGACTCTCCGGGACCACGTACTGAAAAAATCTGGACAGCGCATGTCTGGGGAGTCGGCGACGCCCCTACCGCGTGCTCGTGTCGTGTCGGCCCTAGCGTTGGCTCCTGACACCGCGGGGGCCGTTTCCGAAACCTCAGCTCGTTCAACATCGCTCGATTCTGTGAAGGCATGAAAAGCGCCCCCCGCCACCCACATGAGGAACTTGAGACCAAATAGACGGCAGTGGCCTCGCTTACACGGGCGCCTACACTTACGCACATTCGCCATAATTGACAAACGTCGAGATATAGAATCAATAATTGTGGGGGCTGGGGTCGGATTCTAGGGGAACGAAGAATGACATAAACATAACAACTCGGAGGCCCGCGCGGATTTCTCGGATCGGCGCTGGACCCCCTCCCTGACGCGCGGAGCGCGCCAGGGGGGCTGCCGGAGGCGCCGCCAGGGGGCCCCAGCGCCGATCCGAGAAATCCGCGCGGGCCTCCGATTTATGTTTGTGTCATTCTTCGTTCCCCCAATTTCCCACCGCTCTCATTCGGCGGCGCAAACAAGGGGGTGGAGGGAGGGGGAAGGGCTTCTCCGAAGGAGGGTTCTTCTTGGAAGGCGCCGGCCCTGCATCTACAGACAAGGCCCGCGCCTTCTAAGAAGCAGGGGTGCGTCTAAGAAGCCCTCCCCCCTCCCCCCTCCCCCCTCTGCGCGCGGCTGACTCATCCTGGGTCGCCCGCCAGCGACGCTCCACACGGGCCCAATTAACCCGTGAGAGGGTGCGTGCAGTGCCAGGGGGGCGGCCTTCCAGGCAGGCCATGCGGGGCTTCAGAGGAGGCCGGGAGGGAGGGCTTTCCTGGAGCTCCGCCTGGCTTCTCGGAGCCCAGACCCGCTCGAGTCCCGGCAAACACCGCGACGGGATGGTTTTCTTTACTTTTTCGGCCTTTGGGGCCCCTCACCGGGCCTCGGGGCCGCCAGACAACGACTCGCGATGAAACACTGGTCCCGGGGAAGGGCTCCGGACCTCCTATGGGGGCCGCGTCACGACAAAATCGTGACGTCGGGGGTCTGGGACGGCTGCTTGGAAGTCTGTGGGGGCCCTCCGCCCCTGACCTTCCAGGAGGGCTAAAAAATAGCACCAGGACCTCGACATCTTATTTCCTGTCGAGGTTTTCAGCAGTCCAGATAGGTCTATAGGTCTGTAGGTCTGGAGGGCCATTTTTGAGCACTCTGGAAGGTCAGGGGCGCAGGTCCGTGCCTTCCAAGAGGTCGCCTGGCCCGCTCCCCCTCACCCCCCCGCCACCCTGGGGCAGGATCAGCAAGCAGAGCCCGCATCGAATAGCATCGGAGGATGTACGCCAGCGCCGTGTGAGCGTCGGGCCGCATCGCATCCCCAGGACATGGGCATCGAATCGGATAGGCCGACGTTGGTACCGAACCGGATCGGTCGGGTCGAGGTGATCCCTGCCCTGGGGCGCACCCGAGACGTTTCAGTCGGCCGGCCGCCGGCCGCGGCGCCGCGGCGCCCGCGGAGGTCTGCAGCGGCAGGGCCGATATCGCCCAGAAGAGCCGCAGAGGCAGGGCGACGCCAGCTGACTACCTTACCGAGCTCGGCTGGGCCGATCCCAGACCTTCTGCGGCCAGTCCATGGACGAACGGACAACGCACACATACTTCTAAGGGGACTGTGACCCGCGCCTCGCGACTTGAGGCTGCGCTGTGGGTGTGGATGCGGGCTGTCGGACCCCGAAGGTGGCCCCCGTTGGAGAGGGGACCCACATCCGACGCCACGCACCCAGAGCCTTGGCAGAAGTCCACCCCGATGAATCTAGGGGTCGTAGAAGTATGGGCGCTAGCTGTCAACTCACGATTCATGGGAGGCTTCGCGTTACGCTTAGGCGTTTGCTTTCGTTCCACTCCCGTTCCACCTCCGTTTGAATACGCTCGGCGTCATCCGTGGGCCCTGCGCCATCAACGCACAATGGCCGCGGGGGCAAGACAACGACGCAGAAGTGGCACGGAAAGGACACGGACCCTCTAGAGCAAGAGTAGGCGTAACGTAATGCGAAGGCTCCCATGAACTGGTGCGTAGCTACAGGCCTCCCAGATGGGGTCGGAGTAGATGGGGTCGGAGGATCGCGCCGCATCGCCGATGAATCGCCGATGCATCGCCGATGTATCGGCGATGCGCCAGCGATGCATCGTCGACGTCGGCGGTGCATCGGCGACCTCGACGTGAAGCAAATCGGGCTCCGCATCGATGCATCGGCGATGCGGCGCGATCCTCCGACCCCATCTGCTCCGACCCCATCTGGGAGGCCTATAGAGCAACACACCCTCCTCGCGTCGTGAACGAAAACCGTTCCCAGGGACTGGGTGGGGCGAGATCTCCGGGGCTCCGCGCTGTGATAAGAGTGGCATGGAAAGGACACGGACTCTGTACAACATAAGAAGTGGTGTAGCGTAGCACGAAGGCTCCCACGAACTGCTGCACAACAGCCCCCCCCCCCGCGTCGTGAACAGAAGCCGCTCCCGGGGAAGTGGGCGGGGCGAGGTCTCCGGGGACCTACGCCGCGACAAGACCATGACGCTGGGAGCCCGCTGCGCTGCTGTGGCGGCCAAGGAGGCTGCAGGCTTTCGCCCCGCCGGGGACCCTTCCGCCGAAGAGGGCCCGTCGGAGGAAGGCCAAGATCGCTGTCCGCGTCGTGCTGGCGGGAGCTCAGCTGTTGCCGCTGTGGCGGAAGCTCGAGCGTGGAGGCTCTCGAGCGTGTGCCGAGGCCGTCTGCCCAGCCCGCGCCCGAGCTTGAAGTGTGTCGATGTTTGAGCATTCCTCCTGCAGAGGGGCAGGCCCGACTTAACCCTATAGTCACAGGAGGCCTTACTCCAGTCGCTTCAGGGCGCCCCTCTGGCTGTGATGCTCTGGCTGCTCCTTCCGAGGCATGCGGCCTGCTTGCAACACAGACAAAAGCGCGCACGCCCTCCCGGGCCCTGGCTCGGGGATCTACTGCCCTGGGTCAATCCCGGGTAAGTCGGGCTTTGCGAGATCCTGCGCCCAGACCCGGGCCAACGCGAGGCATCCTGCAGGATCCCGCAGGATCCGGCGCCCAGGCCCGGGTCGGTGCGACCTTGGCCCCGCAGGATCCTGCAAGATCGGGCGCTCTCGCGGGGCCCCCTCTGCATGGACCCCCCCCGCCTCTTGGGCCCCCGACTGGCCAGGTAGGCGCTCTCGTCGCCGGTCCTGGGCCCAGGACGGGGCTGGCCGGGATTCGAGCCGGAGATCGACCCCATAATTTTAAGTCGGGCGTGTCCCCCTACAGGGGGATTTTCGACGAAAAGTCAAAACATATTCAAAACATACTCTAAAATGGTCGAACAATATACTCAAAAAATATGCCCGGACTATTTTTTGACTAGTTTTGAATATTCCCCTGTAGATGGACAGGCCCGACTTAAACATAATCCCATTGCTGTGCATGCTTTGCTCCAGAAGTTTTTTTTGTTTTTTTTGTTTTTTCCGTCGAAGCTGTTGCAGAATAGCCAGGGGGACGCCGACAGGATACTCCGTAGATCCACGGACCACTCTGCTTACCTTCCGTGCAGCTTCGACGAGGAAGCTGATCTTGGGGCACGTCAATCCTGAAATTCGTCTCCTGCTCGAAGCATGGGTTTTGAGGTGGTCAGCTGGCGCCGCCCGAGGAGAGACCGCGCAGTCCAGGGCGGCGTACAGCAGGTCCTGCCGGCGCGGGGCGTCCCAGTCGCGCAGCCGCCGGCCGGCCTTCTGGAGCACGAGGCCTGGCCAGAAGGCGCCGGTCAGCGCCGCGAGGCTCCATGGCCTCCCCGGCAGGGCCAGCGAGGCCGCGTCCCTCTCCAGGAGCGCGTCCTCCGGCCACGCGCGCACGAGTGGCCCCCCTCCTCCCTCCTCCCTCCCCCTCCTCCTCCTCCCCTCCTCGTCTTCCTCCTCCTCCTCCTCCTCCACCTCCTCCTCCTCCTCTTCCTCCTCCTCCCCCTCTTCCCCCTTCTCCTCCCTCCTCCTCCTCCTCCTCCTCCTCCTCCTCCTCCTCCTCCTCCTCCTGCCCCGGACCAGCGTTTCGTCCTGAGTCGTTTTTGCTACGTGTCCGAGGCCCGGCGAGGGCCGAGCAACCTTCGCCTTGTTTCTTCCATGCGCAGGAAATCGGGGGATGGTCCTGAGGGAGGAGGAGGAGGAGGAGGAGGAGGAGGAGGAGGAGGAGGAGGAGGAGGAGGAGGGAGAGGAGGAGGAGGAGGAGGAGGAGGAGGAGGAGGAGGAGGAGGAGGAGGAGGAGGAGGAGGAGGAGGAGGAGAGAGGAGGAGGAGGAGGAGGGGAGGAGGAGGAGGAGGAGGAGGAGGAGGAGGAGGAGGAGGAGGAGGAGGAGGAGGAGGAGGAGGAGGAGGAGGAGGAGGAGGAGGAGGAGGAGGAGGAGGAGGAGGAGGAGGAGCGGGAGGAGGAGGAGGAGGAGGAGCGGGAGGAGGTGGAGGAGGAGGAGGCGGAGAAGGAGGAGCGGGAGGAGGAGAAGGAGGAGGAGGAGGGATGTAACAAATCGGCAGCGCCCGGATCTCAGGGCCTATAGACGAGTCCTCCAGGTCGACCAGTCTCGAGCCCCCGTCCAGGAGGCGATCGGCGGAGATCACGCCGTCCCGGGCCAGCTTCAGGAAGTCCCCGCCGACGCTGGAGGAGCAACAGCTGCACGGACACACCCTCGCGGAGCTCCGCGAGGATTTCTTGGAGCAGCGCTGTGCCCTCGTCCTCGGCGCGCGGAGCGCGCCGGGGACGGCGCCGGAGGCGCCGCCAGAGGGCCCGGCGTCGGCCCAAGAGATCCGCGTGGAGCTCCAGAAGTTCGTGTCAATGCCGCCTTTCTCCCTCGAGATGTTGAGCCCCGCCTTCGCAACCGCGCCAGAGCCCAACAGCTCCACCAGCGACGCGGGCAGCGCACGTGCCGAGCCCGGCGAGCGGACGCGGCTGAGGCTAGAGGAACAAGAAACAGCATAGACATACTTTCTCGTATGTCCGCGCGGATCTCTTGGACAGGTGTTGATTTGTCAATACGGGGTCTCCAGAACTATGCGCTTATCCTTTCCCCAGGACCAGTTTCTCGTCCTGGCAAGTGTCCGCAGGATCCCCAAACGGCCCAACAACCGCCCGTCCTGATTGATTCCAGGCCGGCTCTCCGGCGGCCGCTCGGGACGCTGGGGGGGCACCCCCAGAACGCCCTGGGCGAGGCGCAGCTGCCGCAGAGCATCTCCCGAGTCTGGAGAGGCCGCCGAGAGCCAACGAGAGCCGCCGAGAGCCCAGGCAGAGCCCCGAACCTGCCGTCGTTTGTCCCCCGAGATGTGCAGCAGGCAGACGTCCACCCGCCGCTCCGAGGCCGCGGGCTCGCCGCGGCCGAGGCCGCGCGCCGCCGCCGCGCCGCCCGAGGCGGGGGGCGCGCCGCCGCCCCACAGCCAGCTCGACGGGGGCGCGTGGCCAAAGGCGCCCGCGGGCACCTCGGGGGCGTCCACGTGGTGGTCGTCGTCGTCGTCGTCGTCGTCGTGGTGGTCGTCGTCGCGGTCGTCGTGGTGGTCGTCGCGGTGGTGGTGGTCGTCGTCGTGGTGGTGGTGGTCGTTGTCGTGGTCGTCGTGAGAGTCGTCGTCGTCGTCGTCGTCGTCGTCGTTGTCGTGGTGGTCGTCGTGGTCGTGGTCGTGGTCGTGGCCGTGGCCGTGGACGTGGTCGTGGTCGTCGTCGTCGTCGTCGTCGTCGTCGTCGTCGTCGTCGTCGTCGTAGTGGTGGCCGTCGTCGTCGTGGTGGTGGTGGTGGTGGCCGCCGTCGTCGTCGTCGTCGTCGTCCTCCTCCTCCTCCTCCTCCTCCTCCTCCTCCTCCTCCTCCTCCTCCTCCTCCCCCATACGTCGTTGTAGTTGTTGTCGTCGTCGTCGTCGTCATCGTCATCGTCGTCGTCGTCGTCGTCATCATCATCGTCGTCGTCGTCGTCGTCGCCGTGGTGGTGGTCGTCGTCGAAAGGGTGGCGTCCAGGGGTGGGTTTCGCAGGCCATGGCCCGCGGCATGTGCGCGGCCCCGGGGGGGACAGGGGACGTGGTGAGGTAGGATGAGAGCCCCCCCCTGGTCATACACCCCCTCTTGGGTGCCTCCCGGCACCGCGAGCTGGACGAGGGCGACTGGGCCGGGCGGGGGCGGGAACGCCCGCCACTCCACGTCTGGAAGGAGAAAAAGACGGTGGGACCCACGGTCGGGAACTTGTGGATAGCGTGTCGCCCCGGCGGCCCTGGCGGCACGCCGTGCCTTGCGAGCGGATGAGCGCGGCGCTCCGCTCCGCGGGGCGGGACGCTCGGAAGGGCTCGGGCCGTGGACCTCTCGTGGCCAGGAAGTGGATCGCGTGTCGCTCCTACGCGAGGTGGGGTGGGCCAGAACTTGCGGAGCGACACGCTATCTATAAAAATCCCCACCGTAGCCCAAAGGCTCGAGCAGAACAACATTTCCCGTGTTTGTTTTGTTTTTGCTTTCCCTCGTTCTGTCTTCGTCCCGCCTACGTTTCAAACGGAATCAGAGCGAGAACGGTACACGAGATTGCCCAAACACCGTTTGGCTCGAATCCGGATGTAATAGTAAACTTTCGGAGCTTCGCCAGCGCCGCCACCGGCGCGCTCCGCGCGCGAGGAGGGGGCCCATCGCCGATTCAAAGAATCCGCGCGGAGCTCCGAAAGTTTATGATACGTTTTTTCTCCTTCGGATGTCCATGCCCACGGCCGCGGGCAAGGCGAAGCCGCCGTCGGGCGCGGGCCTGTGCGGACTGGAACCCCTGCTCGACTGCGACAACGCCCAGCGGAGGATCCGGGCGCACACCTCCTCGGCCTCGCCGTGGTCCGACACGTAGCACACGCGGTCCAGGCCGCGCCGGAGCTGCATCGGCTGCGGCTCCGCAGCCGTGGCGGCCCCACGGGCCTCGAGGCGGCAGGATCTCAGGCGCGGCGCCGCGCGGGCGCCCGCGCGGCGCGCGGCCATACTCAGGTCGGGCATGCCCTCCTCCAGGCAGACTTTGAAAGGAAAATCAGACATAGTCAAAAACTACCCTGCAACGTACCCAACCCATATGCATCAAGTGACAAAAGGAGTTTGACCAAATTTGCCAGGACAATGACAGTGCAGGCGCAGTTCTATGTTGTGCAAGCACGATGCACAACAACAGAAGGACGAGGAGAGAAGGCTCAGGCTTGAGGAGGACATGGGGGCGGGAACGGAGGGCAGGACAAGGGCGCGCGGGGGGCCCAGCCGTCAGCGCGGCAGCAGCAGAAGGAAGGTGGCAGGGGGCAGAGGACGACGAAAGTGACGGGAGGAGACCGAAGAATGTTGCTTTCGTCGGTAGTACGTTAAACATGCAGCGCTGCCCGCGCCATGATGCTGCGGCTCTCGACAAAATGATTCAACTTGCTTATAGCTAGTGCAAGAATCGAGTGAAGCCTAGCTCGCTCGCCAGCTTTCCTGCTTTCTTCCTGTACTTTTCAGTGCGGCAGCTAAACGCTCGAAGGCATGCCGCCAGGTCTGCGGGCGGCCCGCGACAGCTCCCCGCTGGATCCCCAGCAGCCTTCGAAAGTGGCGACAGTTTCGCAGATCGTAGCCCCCCAGGGATGACGAGGTCTAATCTGACTCTGGGTGGTGCCTTGCTCCGCTGAACCCCCCAGCAGCCGTCGAAAGTGGCGATAGTCTCGCAGATCGCAGCCCCCCAGGGACGGCGAGGTCGAATCTGGGTCTGGGTGCTGCCTCACTCCGCTGAACCCCCCAACAGCCCTCAAAAGTGGCGACAGGTTCGCAGATCGCAGCCCCCCAGGGATGGCGAGGTCGAATCTGAATCTGGGTGGCGCCTCACTCGGCTGACCCCCCAGCTCTCATCGAAAGTGGTGATAGTTTCGCAGATCGTAGCCCCCCAGAGATGGCGAGGTCGAATCTGGGTCTGGGTGCTGCCTCACTCCGCTGGCCCCTCCAGCAGCCCTGGAAAGTGGCGACGGTTTCGCAGATCGCAGCCCCCCCATGGATGGCGAGGTCGAATCTGAATCTGCGTAGGACGTCCCTCGCTGGACCTCCTACAGCCCTCGAAAGTGGCGACAATCTCGCAGATCGCTTCCCCAGGGATGGCGAGGTCTACTCTGAGTCTGGGTGGGACCCCATTCCGCCTGTCCCCTTAGCAGCCTTCGAAAGTGGTGATAGTTTCGCAGATCGCAGCCCCCAAGGATGACGAGGTCTAATCTGAGTCTGGGTGGTTCCGCACTCGCTTGGTCCCCCCCAGCAGCCTTTGAAAGTGGTGACAATTTCGCAGATTGCAGCCCCCCAGAGATGGCGAGGTCTACTCTGAATCTGGGTGGGACCCCACTCCGCTGGCCCCCCAACAGCTCTCGATAGTGGCGACAATCTCGCAGATCGCAGCCCCCCAGGGATGGCGAGGTCTAATTTGGGTCCGCGGCGGCTACCCACTACGCTTTCCCCCCCAGCAGCCTTCGAAAGTGGCGACGGTTTCGCAGATCGCAGCTCTCAAGGCATGCCAGCTTCACACTTCGCAGGCCCCACAGGCAAGCCAGCAGGCGCACAGGAGAGGAGAGGAGAGGAGAAGGGGGAGCGGGGAGGAGGAGGAAGGAGGAGGACGGAGGCCGCACTGCTCTGTTCAAAACGAGAACCCAACGCAGGAGGCTTGGGACAAATATTCGGAACTACCTGACAACGTTCAAAACATCGTCCCCACTTCAGGACTATTCTTGAATTTTCCTCCTGCAGAAGGACGTGCCTGACTTGAGGCCATGCGGGGCCGGGGTGCCGCGGCATGGGTGCCGGTGGCCAATGCGCGGCCGCGGCGGCAGTGGCTGGCCGCTTGCCTTAGGTCGGGCATGTCCTCCTACAGGCAGATTTGGGAGGACAAATTGCCCTGGTGACGTACCCAACCCCTCCTACGCAATGCGGGGCATGAGTAGCTTGGGAGACGTTCGACGGAGGTGATGTGACATGGGCGCATCTGCTTCTGCGAGCGGCATTCGTGAGGCTCGCAGCCCCCCTGCGTGGTGCCTCACTCCGCTGGACCCGCCACCAGCCTACGAACGTGGCGACGGTTTCGCAGGGTCCCGCCCAGATCTGCGCGGTGCCTCATTCCGCTGGACCCGCCAGCAGCCCTTGAAGTGGAAAGTGGCGACGGTTTCGCAGATCGCAGCCCCCCAGGGACGGCGAGGTCTCGCTCAGATCTGCGTGGTGCCTCACTCCGCTGGACCCACCAGCAGCCCTCGAACTTAGTGACAGGTTGGCAGATCGCTATGCTGGCCCCCCAAGCAGCCCTCGAAAGTGACGATGGTTTCGCAAATCGCAGTCCCCCAGGGACGACGAGGTCTAATTTGGTTCTGCGGCGGCTACCCACTATAGCTGGCCCCCGCAGCAGCCCTCGAAAGTGGCGACTGGTTCGCAGATCGCAGCCCCCCAGAGATGGCGAGGTCTACTTTGGTCCTGCGGCGGCTACCCACTATGCTGGCCCCCCAAGGAACCCTCGAACTTGGCGACAGTTTCGCAGATTGCAGCCCCCCAGGGATGGCGGTGTCCAAATTGGGTCCGCGGCGGGTGCCCACTATGCTGTCCCCCCAGTAGCCCTCGAAAGTGGCGACAGTCTCGCAGATCGCAGCCCCCCAGCGATTGCGAAGTCTAATTTGGTCTGCGGCGGCTACACACTACGCTGTCCCCCCCAGCAGCCCTCGAAACTGGCGCAAGTTTCGTAAATCGCACCCCCTCCAAGGATGGCGAGGTCTAATTTGGGCCCACGGCGGCTACCCACTATGCTGAGCCCCCCCAGCAAGCCTCGGAAGTGGCGACAGTTTTGTATATCGCACCCCCCCCAGGGATGGCGAGGTGTAATTTGGGTCCGCGGCGGGTGCTCACTATGCTGACCCCCCCAGCAGCCCTCGAAAGTGGAGACAGGTTCGCAGATCGCAGCCCCCCAGGGATGGCGAGGTCTAATGTGGGTCCGCGGCGGGTGCCCACTATGCTGTCCCCCCTTGATTTGGGAGGAAATGATACAGAGTCAAATCATAATCAAGAACAAGAATAATCAAAACATCGTCCCCAGACTAGTTTTGGAAATTTTTGATTCTTCCTCGGCCTGAAGCGGCTGGCGAGGGCGCGCGCACGCACACCTGCACCCTGCGCGTGCCTCCCTCGCCCTGGTCAGCAGAGAAGCACGAACGGCGTTTTTTGGGGGGCATCTTTTTCTTCCTCCTCCTTTCCCTCCTAAGCATTGCATTTGCCCGTCGCCCAATCAGGTGACTTTGAAATGTTGCCATGTCTTACGTTTCTATATTCCTTTCCGGGTTCGTGGGTCGATCATGTTCTTCCTC